GGGAGGGAAGGCTTATTGATGGACGTGGGGAGGGAAGGCTTATTGATGGACGTGGGGAGGGAAGGCTCATTGATGGACGGGGGGAGGGAAGGCTCATTGATGGACGGGGGGAGGGAAGGCTTATTGATGGAAGTGGGGAGGGAAGGCTTATTGATGGACGGGGGGAGGGAAGGGTAATTGATGGACGTGTGGAGGGAAGGCTCATTGATGGACGTTGGGAGGGAAGGCTCATTGATGGACGTTGGGAGGAAAGGCTCATTGATGGACGTTGGGAGGGAAGGCTCATTGATGGACGGGAGGAGGGAAGGGTAATTGATGGACGTTGGGAGGGAAGGCTTATTGATGGACGTGGGGAGGGAAGGCTTATTGATGGACGTGGGGAGGGAAGGCTTATTGATGGACGTGGGGAGGGAAGGCTCATTGATGGACGGGGGGAGGGAAGGCTTATTGATGGAAGTGGGGAGGGAAGGCTTATTGATGGACGGGGGGAGGGAAGGGTAATTGATGGACGTGTGGAGGGAAGGGTAATTGATGGACGTGTGGAGGGAAGGCTCATTGATGGACATGGGGAGGGAAGGCTCATTGATGGACGTGTTGAGGGAAGTCTGGCCCGTGTAGTCTGATCCAATAGAAGAGATACTATAGCTCAAATTGCTGATAAAGTGAATGTTGGTTGTGATAGAAAGATGTCTGAACACACAGAGCATCGCAGGTTGTTGTGTATGGGGCTGTGTAGCTGCAGGCCGGTCAGGGTGCCCATGCAGACCCGTGTCCACCACCAAAAGTGACTACAATGGGCACGTGAGAATCAGAACTGGAGCACGGAGCAATGGAAGATGGTGGCCTGGTCTGATGAATCATGTGGATGGCCGGGTGTGTGTGTCACTTACCTGGGGAAGAGATGGCACCAGGATGCACTATGGGAAGAAGACAAGCTGGCGGAGGCAGTGTGATACTTTGGGCAATGTTCTGCTGGGAAACCTCGGGTCCGGCCATTCATGTGGAGGTCACTCTGACACGTACCACCGACCTAAACATTGTTACTGACCCAGTACACCCCTTCATGGAAACCATATTCCCTGATGGCAGTGGTCTCTCTCAGCAGGATAATGAGCCCGGCCACACTGCGAAAATGGTTTGAGGAACCCAACAATGAGTTTGAGTTGATGACTTGGCCTCCAAATTCTCCAGATCTCAATCCAATCGATCATCTGTGGGATGTTCTAGAAGAACAAGTCCGATCCATGGAGGCCGATCACCTCACACCTTACAGGACTTATAGGATCTGATACTGACGGCTTGGTACCAGATACCACAGCACACCTTCAGAGGTCTAGTGGAGTCCATGCCTGGACGGGTCAGGAGAAGGGGGACCTACTCAATATTAGGCGGGGGGTCATAATGTTACGGCTGATCGATGTGTACATATATTAATATATATTTTTGTTAATATATATGATATTATATAGATCACATAGGAATATATTATAAATGTGAGGTCATTGGAACCCCCAGCTCGGTTTTAATGGAAAAGGTTACCAGATGATCCGGTCTGTGGCTGTGACATGTGACCTCTCTTATTCACCTATGTGGACCGGGCTCTTGAAGGATTTCACGGTTCCCAGGTGAATATGGTAAGAGTTGGCCAGTGTTGCCCACCCCTGGATTAGCTCGTCCCTCTGCCACTCTGCTCATTTCTTCTATCAGCATTTACCTTTCACTGCGAGGCACACCTGATTGGGTCCTTGTGCTGCTTCTCCCTCCTGCAGGCTGAGGTCTGCTGTACAGACAGTAGTTTCCATTGCCATATCTGCTGCTGTTTGTGCAGCAATTGTATTGCTGGAGGACTCTGCTCCTTTCTCTATAACTCTCCTCTCCTGAAATACTCTGATCTGCTGGAGGACTCTGCTCCTTCCTCTATAACTCTCCTCTCCTGAAATACTCTGTACTGCTTTTTCTTTAATTCAGTCTCATTTGTCTGGTATCAGACTGTATCCCCCTCCACAGATTTCCAGTCTCCAGTTCAGTGTGTTGCAGTATGATGTGATACAATTGTATATCATTTGTCCCTGTCAGAGTTACATTGTACATCTCTTCTCTGTATGGTGGTGATATGATGAGCAGGCCATAGTCTTCATGTTCTGTAGATTACATTCTCTGGGCACTTCTGTATCCTCACATACCGCATTCCCCTCCTTGCAGGTTATTCACGTCCTGCGCCTTCGAAGTGATCGCAGATAACGCCTTCTCAAAACTGAAGCACTTGGAGTATTTGTAAGTAGAGCAGAACCTCTTACCAATGTAAGGGGTCACATCTATGCTGACCACCAATGTAAGGGGTCCCATCTATGCTGACCACCAAAGGGAAACTCCTCCAGAATATTTGCTTTTGTTCAGGTTTGTGAGTTGTTATTGTTTTGTATTTAGGTTCATCGAAAACAACACCATCAAATCAATCTCTCGGAATGCATTACGTGGACTGCGGTCTCTGATTCACTTGTAAGTACATTAACGTAACGACCATATGCTCTATACAGCCTAAAGCTTGTGGGCACCTGACTGTCACACCTATAGGAGCTTGTTGGACATTCCATTCCAAAACCAGGGCCAATAATATGGAGTTGAAAAGCTTCCCACAATATTCTGAAGTGTCTGTGTGAATTTGTCCCATTTGTGAGGTCAGGTACTGATATTGGATGAGAAGACCCGGCTCACAATTGGTGTTCCAATTCATCCCAAAGTCAGGTTGAGGTCGGGGCTCTGTGCAGGACACTCGAGTTCCTCCGCACTGGACATGTACGTGTTTTTTTTTTTGTATGAATTGAAATTTCGGATGATTTTTTTTCAAATTCGAATGCATCTGAAAGTGATCAAATCAATTTTTTTGACCAAATTTCAGAATCTAAATGGCCAGTATGGAATAAAATGACAAAAAAATGAAATAAGTTAATTTTTAATAAAGAACCCCCATTCAAGTTGATCCGAACTTCAAATGGAAAAATTTGGATCAATCCGAATAACAAACTGAATTGATTTTTGGATCCAAAATCGGAAAAAAAAAATGTAATCAATCTGAAACAAATTTGTATAGCCTTTAAATTTCTACTCCACACCATGTCTTTATGGAGCTGGCTTTGTACACAGCGGACAGTCATGGTGAGACAGAAAAGGGTCTTCACCCAACTGTTACCACAAGGCTGGACGAGCACAATTGTCTACAATGTCTTTTTAAGTTGTATTATTACCAGAACCTTCACTGGAAGAACCTGAACTCCATCACTTGGGGGGTCCACATACTATTCGCCATGTAATGCATTTAAAACTGCCAGTAAATAGATTTTTTTTTTCAGTTCTTTTTTCACCTTTCCGAGCTCCGGGGACTATAATTTGTTGATAAATGTCGTCTTCTGTCAAAGTTTTATCCCGGACTAGCTTTGCCAAGTCTCTAGGTTCCTCAGATGAGACAAATGTAATGGTTTTCTCTTTCCGAAATGTCTCCCTTTAGGAGTTTGGCTAATAATCATCTGGAGTCTCTTCCAAGTGAGTTGTTTCGGCCCCTGACGGCCATAAAACACATGTAAGTACAAAGCCGTCATTTGTTTCCTTCACAGGACTTTGTGTATAAAATATCCGGAGGGGGGGAAGAGACTTCGGCTGAACGTTGGTCGGTCATAGGGTTGCCACCTTTTTCTTCAAGCGAAACCCAAACACTCTATGGACGTTTGGATATTTTTTTGGGGAGAATAGGTTGTAGCTTATTTATATGTAAATAGTGACGCACATTCCTATGTAAATATCACAGTTGAGACAATTTTTCAATGGGGGGCCAGTAGCCCCTATCTTAATTTTGGTTGCCCCTGCCTGCCTGACATCTTGTGTCCGGGTTTCTGCTGCCATGAAACCCGGACACAGCATTCAAAGCCCGGACTGTCCGGGTGAATCCTGGACAGGTGGCAACCCTAGTCGGTCAATGCGGCTGGTTTTAGTCTTCTAAGTTGAATGTTGTTCTCCTGTTGTGGGTTTGCTGTTGGGTTTGGAGTGTTGTAGTATTAGTGGAGCGCTGCTCATATTGAGCAGTCTGTTTGTTGCCCATATAGTTGGAGTCAAGAAGTATGTTTGTTATTCACGCTTCATCTATACAGTGTTTATGTCTGACCTGAAAATTCATTTGGTGGGGCTCTACTTTATAGTTCAAAGTTCCTTTTTGTTTCACACGACTCTCTACATTGTGATGCCAGCCCAGGTATAGTCGCCCCTCTCACCGGTGGCATCGGGCGCCCCTCTCACCGGTGGCATCGGGCGCCCCTCTCACCGGTGGCATCGGGCGCCCCTCTCACCGGTGGCATCGGGCGCCCCTCTCACCGGTGGCATCGGGCGCCCCTCTCACCGGTGGCATCGGGCGCCCCTCTCACCGGTGGCATCGGGCGCCCCTCTCACCTCGGGCGCAGTCGCCCCTCTCACCGGTGGCATCGGGCGCAGTCGCCCCTCTCACCGGTGGCATCGGGCGCAGTCACCCCTCTCACCGGTGGCACCGTCGCCCCTCACCGGTAGCACGAGGCAACGTCGCCCCCCACACCGATAGCACGAGACACCGTTGCCCTCACCGATACCATGAGGCACCGTTGCCCTCACCGATACCATGAGGCACCATTGCCCACCATAGCTCCATGTTACATTATTGTAAAGAAGTGCAATCATAAATGGCATCGGGCACAGTCGCCCCCTCACCGGTGGCATCGGGCACAGTCTCCCCCTCACCGGTGGCATCGGGCACAGTCTCCCCCTCACCGGAGGCATTGGGCACAGTCGCCCCTCACCGGAGGCATTGGGCACAGTCTCCCCCTCACCGGTGGCATTGGGCA